TGACTCAGACTGTTAACGTTGTTAAGCAAACTGTTGTCAAGAACAAGATTATCAAGTCTCCTCGCATAGCCGTGATCGATGTTAAGAAAGATGCAGATGCTGGTGAACCCAGCAGTAATGGAGTTGTCGCCCTCACCCTTTCTAAGGCAAGTCGAGGTGGCAAGGACCTTCAAGGTTGCGAAGTAGACTCTGGATCCGGCGATGACGAAGAGGAAAACACGATTCTATTGGTCAGAATTTATTCTATTAGTACTCGCTTAACAGTACCTATAGAATTCATACAGTAGTTATTAGTATTGCAATGCGTAAATGTTATGAATTTAACATCGTATTAATATCATTAAAATATGTTACTATGAAATTTATTCAGATTGAGACAAAGGTGGGAGAAAAGAATGTAGATGTGGACATGGCCGTGGTCCTCATCACAGACTCGACACTTATGCCCGACAGGACGAATTCAATCGTGACAAAAGAGGAAGACGAAGACGACAAGGAAGCCGTCACTAAAATCATTGATGACCTGAAGAATGATTTGGAGGACGCAACCAAGAAAGATGGCGAGGACACCAAAAAGAGCTTTGTTAACTCTTTCATCACTGAGGTCAAAGTTCAAAACGCAGTACCTGATGACTTCAAGCTAAATGTCTTCATGAAGCCCACCATTAATATAGTGAGTTATTTAAATACGATAATTATACTTAAATTTTAATTTTACACTGTGGCAAATAAGATTCTGGACGATATCAGACAATTTTCGTCGGAAAGCAAAAAGTAATCGAAATCATGAATGAGACAATTTCTTATAACGTTTCGCACGTGCAAACTTTATGCGGATGTTGCGTGCGCATCTAGTACCACAGTGCTGGCAAGCATAACAGAGATATTTACAGTTTACAGTTAACACCTCTTTACTCAAAAAATATAAGTATACATCCTATCAGTAAATAATTCCTTTGTACGTATATTTTCTAATCCTCTACAACCTTCAGGGCAACACCAGCTCAAGCCTCATCATGGAACCTAACGGTAAAAGAATGCAAGTTTCGTACATCTGCGCAAAATACGACCCTGTTAAAGCAAAGTGGAAGGAGGGTTGCGAGACCATCTACAACTCTGCCAAGCCATCAGACGGGGTGCTCTGTTTGTGCAGTCACAACACCAGCTTTGCTGTCCTTATGGTGAGATTCTGTGGAAGGAAATTTATAACCATCATGACATAACTCGTTTTATTTTATGTAATACTGGCCTCAAACCCGTCTTACTTATAGTAATATCTCCCAGCTTGAAACACTCCTTCACCAAATGTTTTCAGTCAGCTTACGAGATTGATCGTGGGTTTGCCGAAGTACAGAGTTACTTAACGTATGTACTACTCGGAATTTCAATCGTCAGTCTCATCTTAACTCTGGTGTTCCTACTTCCTGCTAAAGCTCTTCGATCAACTCGATCCGCTAAGATCAACATCTGTTTCACCACCGCACTTTTGTTGGCGTCATTGATGTTCCTCATCCAAGACGCTTTCATTTCTGCTGATGATACCGGAGTCATAAAACTGGTAAGCTTGAGTTATATTTAGAGGTTAGATGATAACTATAAGTTGTGCTGACAGATAATATTATAGGAGTCCAGCTGCTAATCCAGTTGTCAGACCTTTTCGAATACTGCCCGACTCATCAACCACCACCCGTTTCAGAAGTCGACGGGATGTGCCGTGTACGCGATGATCCAGCATTACTTATGGCTTGTGGTCTTCGCCTGGATGGTCGTCGAAGGGTTCCTTATGTACCTTTCTCTCGTACAAGTGTTCGGATCTCATATCTCAAAGTGTATGCTGAAGTTTAACCTCGCGGCATGGGGTATGTTATTATAATATTATTATTCAATCTTATATTTTCTCTATCTGAGCACTTGCATAATCTTGGTTATTCGATTGTTTTTCAAATAAGAAGAGTATAATTATATACTCTTATCATACAAATTACCTGACCATATTCTAGGTATCCCTCTACCGATACCATTCATCGGATATTTCGTCTTCACGAAGCGGCACACCGTAGGTAGCTTCACTTTCACAGAACACGGGTACCTAGCGGACACTATGTGCTTTATCCGACCTGAAAGTACATCCTTCTACACTCTCTTCCTAGCCCCCATTGTCTTGGTTATCTTGGTGAACCTTGTATTCTTCGCACTGGTTGCCAAAGTGATTAATAAGAACTCAAACTCATCCGGCAACATCTCTGATCGGGGACAAATTTTAGTGAGTTCTAAGGTTGATAATATTTAGCGTCTTTCAATATGATCGAAGAATTGTTTATCATCTGGCCTGTTGTCTGGTTTGTTTTACTTTTCATATGCTTCATTTTAATATCGCAAAAATTCTTAAACTAACTTCAGCGGCAGCTTAAATCAGCAGTCGGTGTGATGGTCTTGCTTGGAACAGGCTGGTTCTTTGGAATATTCATGTCCCTCCCAGCCCCTCAGTTCCAAGCGGGGATGCAGTATCTGTTCATTCTTCTTAATAGTTCTCAGGTATGCGCGTGTTTTCTACAGCCTTCTTTATCCTTCTTCCGAATTAGATGTTATCTTTAAAGTATCATAATTGATAATATCGATACCCACTACACAAGTATATCATCATTATGAAAATTAAAGACGAAAAATGGTTAATTGCACTACAAACGGAGATAATTATCCATGTAAACTTTCAGGGCATATTTGTATTCCTGTTCTACATAGTGCTCAACGACCAGGTCACGTCTCACTGGCTGGTTAAGGTTGGGCTCCAAGAGGAGAGGAGGACCTCTACAATATCTTTCGCCGCCGCTGCCGCCGGTAGATCAGTAGCCCCGTTAACTCAGGCAATGACGATCAGCGCCAGTGCCGTCCCAAACCAAGCTGACAACATTTATGAAAACGCCGCCGCCTCCAACGATGATCGAACGTCTGAAAGTGTAAGCAAAAATGAGTTTCCAGCTAATTCTGACGATAATGCAGAAATTTGACTGTGTGAATGAATTTTGTAAGTGTAACGAAAGACTGGTTTTATTTGATACTGGGTGTCCCAAAAATGACGAACAAGTGATCACTGTTGATAACATAAGAACGGTTTGAGAACGTTATTAATCATTTATAATTGCTGTAGGGTATGGTCTCCGGAGATCATTGATCATGAACAAATTTTGAGACCTCTCGTTCATTCGATAAAATTGTTCGCCAATAATGTATCACTATCAGTAGCGTAGTCTTTAGATTTTCTTCATTAATTTGTTCATCTTACTATAAATAAAGCGAGACGGTATATATGTGTTTATCCGTGCCATTTTACTGACACCACGGCATCAACTTTAACGCGACTTTCCGCAAAAACCGTAAAAGAGATACAACTTAAACTTTTTTGACCGGGTTAAATGCTTTTATGCTTTTCAAATCAGCATGAAAAAATAAAAAATTTGCCACGGAACAAGAATTTTAGTGCCCAAAATTTGGATCTCCAAGTGGTGTCAAAAACGCGATTTAAATAGGTAATAATTATTTCAGTATTTACAGTAGTTTCTCTAACTCTTAAATTAGCAGATACAAATGAGTATAACATATAAAAACCAATATCTATTTACAAACTACAGATACTACTATACTTGGAAATGTGCCGTCGCTAATTATTGAATTTTATCTTTTTATACATAGCTGATAAGATTTTCAATGCATGTAAAACTATGCACTTACTGCAGTACAATATTGTTTCGACTCCAAAGTAGTGTGCTGTTTTTTGCACATGGGGGCCAATCGAAACAAAAATACGATTTAGAACTGGCAGATGCTGAATCAGCAGATCGAAGAATCTTTAAATTATTTACTATTTTTATCGTATTGCCGTGTAAATTTGATTCTAATGCTAATTCTAATATTTGAAAATCCTGTCTTTAAATTTGACTCATTTGGGTCACCCAATAAATTTAGAAAGCGAAAACGTGGTGTCAGTGAAAGTAAAGAATTATTGTCGTCCGGAGGACGGGTACGCTGCTAGTGTTAGCTAATTTGTCATTGAAAAGCTTAAATTGTGACTCTGAATCCAACAAAATTCTTTTAGTTTTACTCACAGATGACTATTTGTATTAAATTTAAATAATTGTAACATGATATATAATATATAATTATATATGAACAGACCTGAAAAAAAACTGTTTATCGTTCAAGTACAATGGTGTAAGCACTAGGGAAGTCGACAAGCGAAGTCGACTTACAATTAAAGCTCAAATAAACTTAATATTTTAATACTGATATTTTTACCAAAATACATAGTACAGTACAATATATTTTGGTAAAGATATCACATTATCAGATCAAGTCCATTTTGTACTAATTATTTATAGTCCCCCGATTCCACATCGTTGAGGTATTTTTAGTCATCACCATTATTTAATGACGAAGATCAGGGTCCGTTTAACCCCAATTCCTAAGGGCAACATCCCACATCAAAGCAAGTGCTGTAATGAAGGCCACGTCAATGTCAGGCTCAATTGAGAGGCGGATCAATCCGTGCTTATTAGTATTACCGCTCATACGAGCAAACAGCTGATTAGTTTCGCCATCGTATATATTTACGTTGTTTGTTCGTTCTCGTGTACATGTCACAGAGCATTTCATCATTATTTCCGGCTTAGAATTGCTGAAGAATTATCATTTGTTTAAAATAGTTTTAATGAAAGATATTACCTAAGCTTGTAAGTGTTTAACTAGTTTAAGTTAACCTACCCGAAATCAACAAACTCTCTAATTAATTTGACCGTAATTAATTATAAGCTAAAATCATCCAATTACTGCAGAACACTGTATAGATTTAATTTCTCTCAGTCTCTCTGAACCTGTTATAATCATCAGTGACATGAACGTAGCATTTCATGTTCCTGGTAAAATGTCTGAAGGCCATTGTAACCCTCCGTTGATTCATACCCTCGCCAGTGGCAGTACAATTCATGTGCCATAATACTTTAAACTTGACGAAATCTCCTTGGCAACGCGGGGACATAGTCATAAAAACACTACAATGTTACCAAAACTACATGACTATCTAACATTTACGCTCACGCTATAAGTATACTATGATTATTCATAACTTTGGTTGTGATTGATATTGTGATTGCTATTTTGAAAACTTGTCGTTTAGAGAATCCAAATACTTACAAAATAGTCGTTATTGTCAAATAAAATCCTTAATTTCTACAGTACAACAGTGCTAGATGATGAAGAGAAATTAAAACATAACTTTTTTTAAACAAAGCTTTCGACTAGTACTGTAGCGGGTTTTTAGTAAATTATATTCGATAGTAATATCTGGCCAGCAAATTAACATTATGTCGAAAAAGTCGCAATCATGTCTGAAATTTGGTGGCCCCCGTAAAAACTTCACTTTGCTAAGTAAAAAGGAAACTGAAGTAATAATTATCAGGACAACAATAGTATAAATCGATAAAAAGTCTCATACAGTCCGTAGAAAATTGTAAAAACCATTTAAGTATAACTATTAACAAAATTTAATTAAAAATGAAATAAGCTGTAATATTCAATGGCGTAAGTCATGCGCTGAGTGTCCAGAAAAATTAGCTAATATTGAAATCAAACAGCAGCGAAAAAGAAATCATGCCGTAGCTTCCTTGTTACTTGTCTACGATTTCCTAAGGCTAAGGGCCCGCATGTTTTCCAATCTTGAACTCCTGTGTTACTTGGGTAGCACAAACGGTGTTTGAATTACGCCACTGATACGATTACGGTTCTACGGGTTTATTAACTTGTTTCCATGTATTAAATCGATGATAACCAAGGGACGTAATCGGTTGTAACAAAGCCGTTTTAAAGGCTCAGAAAAACCAATAACAGCCAAATTATTACCGAAATACGGTACATAGATAAAATTCACATTTTAATCGGTGGTATCGAAATAACAAACCCAGTCTCGGAAGGAACGACACAGAATTAAGTCCCAATCTCATTTCACTAGAGACTAAACCCACATCAACGAGGTCCCGCCACTCCCTTAAATTTCTGTGCTGGAATATCAACCACTCTCGGGACAAAATTGAAGGAGCCAAGGTTGATATAACCGAAATTCGTGAACTACTTGACAACCACGATATTTTTGCTCTGCAAGAAACAAAAGGGGAGATCAACTTAAGTAACTACTGTTGCTTTAACTCTAACAGGAAGGGATCAAATTCAGGTGGAGTATGTATCGGAGTTCACAAAAGCCTAAAAGCTGGTGTAACCAACGTTCGTATGAATTCCACGGAAGATATCGTTGTAGTTAAGCTTAAAGCTAACTACTTCGACCTAGACCGAAACACCTATATTATCAATGTCTATGACTCACCCAAAAATGGATCCTACAAGAAGCGAAGAAAAGGTCTGGAAACTGAAGACAGTATGTCAACTCTAGAGGATCTTCAAGAATTCCTGGCTGGAGTTCCTCTGAACGAGGATATCATTCTTCTCGGGGATTTCAATGCTAGAACTGGCACTCTGGACGACATGTTATCAGACCATAGTCTAATGAAGGATACAGAGCTCGACGCTCATTTCTCTAAAAAGCTGGCTAAACGCAATAACTCAGACCCAAAGCTAAACACGAATGGGCGACCCTTCATCGAACTCCTTCAGACGACAGGCCTAGTCATCCTAAATGGCAGAACTCTCGGCGACATATTCGGTGAACCCACCTGTATTCAGCGGCATGGTGTCAGCACAGTTGATTACATTTGCGTCTCGACGAGTCTTCATGACAGAGTCCGCCACCTGAAAATAGAGAGCATCTCTCAATATTCCGATCACAGAGCGCTGTCAATGTCAATATCGACAAACCCTTTAAGAAGGATTTCTAACAGTCTTGAATCGCCAGATATCAAAGATGCACCTAAAGCTTTCAAATGGAACTTATCAGAGAACCTCTCTGCAGACACAGCAACTAAGTTCCGGCTGGCACAGAATGATCAGTCATTCAAAGACAAAATGGACTGCCTCCTTGATCAACCAGTGAACACAGCAAACGACGCTGCTCAGCTTAATGAAGACGTGGTTGCAACATACCACAATCTTGCGAATTTTGTTACTACGACCAAAAGTGGCAAACGCACCAGTAAGAAAAAGTGGTTTGACCAAAGCTGTAGACATGCTAAAAGGGAGGCCAACAGAGCCGACAGAAATGCCAACAGTAACCCACACAGCAACTTCCTTCGTGACCAGCACTTCCTCAGAAAAAAGGAATACCGAGCTATTAAGAGGATGAAAAAGGGGAAATTCCTGTATGAGATGAACCAGAAGATAAACGAAAGTGGAGATGTAAACTGGGCAGCACTCAAACGGCTATCTGACCAGTACAAAGATGAAGAACCATTCGACATTTACGATCTCATCCTCTTCCACAAATTCTTTAATGATCTCTACAACCGGAAGTGTGGTAGGAACGATCACTCAAGGGACGATGTCACCTCTACTCCATTGTCCAACAATTCGCAGCTCACCAAGGAACTGGTCGATGAACTGAATCGCGACTTCACGTTACAGGAAATCAAAGATGCAACTAAAAAACTCAAAAACAATAAGAGTGTGTCCGATGATCTGATATCCAACGAAATGTTGAAAAACTCCAACGAGAAACTCCAACTCGTCGTGGTAAAACTCTTCAACTCCTGCCTCCAGCATGGAACTTACCCCTGGAACAACTCCATCACAACTCCCCTCCATAAGAAGGGTGACCGGCAAAACCCTGATAACTATCGGGCCATAACAATTGGGAGCTGTCTCGGTAAACTCTTTTCGAATCTACTCCTCAAACGGTTAATCGAATTCAGAGAAAGAGCCTGTCCTGACCGACCCTATCAACTTGGATTCAGGAGTGGAGCCCAATGTAATGACCACATACTCACCCTAAATACAATCATTGAGAAATACGCCAAGAAAGAGAAGAAGCGACTATTCGCATGCTTTGTTGACTATCGCAAGGCTTTCGATAGTGTATGTAGGGAAGCACTTCTGTTCAAGCTGAGCAACATGGGAATAGCAGGCAAATTCTTCGAATGCATCAGTCACATGTACAACAACTCTTCAACCCGAGTCAAACTGATCCAAAAGCTCTCCGCAGCCATTGACGTCACGATCGGTACAGAACAAGGGCATCCATGATGTCCCCTGAGCTCTTCAAACTTTATATCCACGAGCTCTCCATCAGGCTGGAACAAATTGAGGAATTGGATGTACCTCTTCTAAACGGTGTTAAAGTAAGCCACCTCCTTTGGGCAGATGACCTGGTCCTCCTAGCGCTGGATGCGGACAGCTTACAGAAACTGCTGAACTGCTTGCATGACTATGCCGTGAAGTGGGAGTTGTCTGTGAACATCAACAAAACCAGTGTGATGGTATTTAACACAAGCTCACGAATACTCAAATGTGCTTACGGATTTAAACTAGGAAACTTGGACATCGCGCCAGTAAGAAAATACTACTACCTTGGAATCCAATTCTCTCTGAACGGTACCTTCAAACAAGCAATCGACGAGCTTAGGAAAAAAGCTCTACGCTCGTTCTTCTCTATGAGACGAATTATTGACACGAGAGCACTCTCCACTAGCACGATGCTAAAACTCATCGATAGCTTAGTCAAGCCAGCAGCTACATACGGATGCCCTGTTTGGCTGCCATCGACCAACATCGCGAAAGCCATTCTCTCAAAAAACCAAGAAGTGAGTCTCCCAAAAGCAGCAGCAAAAGATGCTCTCGAATCTACTCACCTAAAAATTCTTAAATGGATATTGGGTGTCCACAAAAAGGCAAATAACAACTTCTGTTACGGCGACACAGGAAGAACCCCCTGGACAGTGACCGTCCTCCCTCAATGTATTGCCTACTTCTATAGAGCATCACAAGCGGTAGTAGGTAACGTGAACACACTTCTGCACCATACATTTCAGGAGCAGAAACAACTGAACCTTACCTGGTATGACACTTGGTCCACTATCATCAAGATGAGCACCTCCGCTAAACCAAACCTACACCCCGCTCTTGCAGCACGTGAGCACATACACGAAACCTTTGTGAACCACTGGAAAAAGGATCTTCACAACCAGCCGAAGATGTCATTCTACACCGCGGTCAAACCTGAGTTTGGTGAAGAACAGTACTTACAGATTCCATGCAGGCTTAAGGGAGCTAACATTGCTAAACTTCGCTCTAGCAGTCACGATCTAGGGTAGAGAAAGGTCGATATACTAGTGATCGATACAACACAGCATTGAAAACGTGTCGTTTTTGCTGCTCTCCAGACACAGACGTCATTCGCTTTTTCGAAGAGCTACCTTTCTTTGAAACACCTATCCTAGAAACTGAGGATCATGTCATAACTGAATGCCCTGGATACCACTCCCTCCGCTCAAAGCTTTCTGATAACCTGAAAAGCCTTGTAATGCTAAAAGAGTATAGGACCATAATGAACTCTTGTCACACAAAAGAATTCGGGAAATACCTAACAGACTCTTCAAACCTTCGAAATCCTAAAAATAAGTCCTAATCCTCGTACTCGAACTTTATTTACTGTATTACCTTAAATTATTATAGACGATCTTCTTTTATTTTCGTGAAATTGTAAACGGTTAAATTTTAATAATTTTTAAATGATTCAGTTTTAATAATTTTATTTATTGATTTATTCATTCTTGTATAGCCAAGACGAGAGTGTTCTCTCTGGTAATTTCATGTTTAATCCTGTTTAATCCTGTTTAATCCTAGAGAACAAGTTGGTTCCTTCACACAAACTGCTTTCTGGCCATCAGGGCTTCAACAGCTCTCTCGATCTCAGCTAGGAGTCCAGTAAAGTGCCGTTCAGTGACAGAGAGGTGGTTCACATGTCCCGGTTCTACAAGCCACAAAAATGCGTCTGAAGACAGGGGGGGGGGGGGTTAAATTGTGTGACTTATTATTGGTCAACTGTTTATAAATATTGGTTAAGTTCTATAATTTATTAGTCAACTGTGGTCGGTGTTACTGGAAAACAGATAATACATATTCCGAATAATGTCTGTAAATAAGAAAGCTGTCATTAAGAAGGACTATTCTAGGTAGAGATGGTAAATTACCACTAGCAGCGATGTTGGGAGCGTAGTGAAGGTGGTGGACGGAGAAGGACTGTATCGCGGACACCAGATCACAAACTGCCGAGAAATTATTCTTCAGCTGGGACACCGGTACCTGGAAACATAGTTTAGCAATGTGACAATAGCAGTTCACTGTGAGGATCTGTA